TCAGTCCTCGGGAGAGGCTTTGCCCTGGAGGAGGTGGGAATGGGGGATAGCCTGGGGGTAAGGGGAGGGGGTGGGAGGGGGGAGAACAGGGGAACCCGTGGCTGATATGTAGAACTGAATGGTATTGTAAAATAAAATGAAAGGAAAAAAAAATGAAGAGAAAAAAAATTAACTAACTAAATAAAAAGACATGAATCTTAAAACATGTACTTTCAGATCTAGAAGATTCCTATAAATAGCCCACAGATTTATAACTAAATCTACGAGCCAACACAATAACAAAACCTTTTCATATCATGATAAACTTGTGGTCAAGACAGACATTTTGTTGCCTAAAGAGATAAATTTCAATAATACTAACCACCTGACAGTGAACATGTTATTGACAACCTGAGTTCAATACCCAGAATCCATAAAGCAGGTGAGAATTGACTCAGGCAAGTTGTAAGTTGTCCTTTGACCTGCACACATACCATCACATACATACATACATACAGAGAGAGAGAGAGAGAGAGAGAGAGAGAGAGAGAGAGAGAGAATATAAATACAAAGCAAAATTGTTCCTCAATATTAACCTGAATCATACTTTAAAAAGAAAAGACATAAGCAAGATATATTGGCACATGCCTTTAATGTCTTTAGTCCCAACACTGGGTAGGGAGAGGCAGGCAGATCTCTGTGCTTTTGAGGCCAGCCTAGTCTACATAACAAGTTCCAGACTAGCTAGGGCTACATAGAAAGACCCTTCCTAAAAATACAAAATCAAGAAAATAAATCCTATCATTACATCAAGCACATCTGTTGATATTCACCTGTGAGCACTGTTCAATTCTCTCATTCACATCAGGTAGCATCCATGTGTCCTCACCTCGAAGTTGCTTAAGTTCTTTGCATCTTTGTTCTTTTTCAAAATTACTTTTGGCCTAAAACAAAAGAATATGAAAGACAAACTGACAATTGATACAACTGCTTTTCAAATACAAAAAGAAAAATTGGTAATACTTTCATATAAAGATTCCTAGTCAATAAATGGTCTATTCTTGGGCTGGAGAGATGGCTCAGTGGTTAAGGGCACTGGCTGCTATTCTAGAGGACCCAGGTTCAATTCCCAGGGTCCACATGGCAGCTCACAACTGTCTGTAACTGCAGTTGGGAGATCTGACACCCTCACACCAATGCACATAAAATAAAAATTAAATAAATTATTTTAAAAAATGGTCTGTTCTTGACAATAAATTTGCCTCTACTAGTATAGGAAAGATTTTAAAAAACCTAACAATAGCTTTTCTTTAGTACTACCAGTCTTCAGTAAATCTGGGTACAAATCACACATAGTATCCTGTCCAGTACTAGCTTATGTCTTCCTTTCTCCCTGTCTCAAGTATAACTTGGAATCACTTTAACTGCCATCATCCCTGTTGTTATTTATTTTTGCTCTTTTCTGGGGGGCCTGTGGGAGCCCGTTTTCAGGTTCCTCATGGCTTTACCCAGCAGGTCCACAGAGAGGATGATTAGGACCACAGGCCTGAGTGCTGGTTTCTGAGATGGACTGCTCTTGGCTGTGCTGGGGAGAGGTCTTTTGCTCCACCCCTTGGCGACTCTATAAATACCCTGAGGCAGAGACAGGGCTCCTTGGAATAGGTTCCAGGCCCTCTCGAAGCTATCCTTTATTTTCTATCAATTTATCTCCACAATCTAAATCCTTCTATCTAATATTTCCTGCTGCTCGCACTCAAGAAAACTCTGGGGAACTGTGTGGTTGGCCCACCACCCAGCTCCCAAATAAATCACACACAGACGCTCATTCTTAATTATTAATGCCTGACCTTAGTTTAGCTTAGTTTCTAGCCAGCTTTTCTTAAGTTAAATTATCCTAACTACCTTTTACCTGCCAGCTCCACCGATCCTTTTACTACCTTGCTATTGGCCAGTTCTTTATTAGACCATCAGGTATTTCAGACAGGCACAGTAACACAGCTTCACAGAGTTAAACAAATGCAACATAAACAAAAGTAAAACACTTTAAAATATTCTACTACACATCCCTGTGGCTAGTTCTTTAGACTTTTGCAAAAGTTATGAAGCTGACTTTTTTCTATGCCTTCAATAGGCAATATCTGCACCCCAATACTTCATCTCAGAAACAAAAAAGTTATCTTCTTAAAAAGAAAGGATCATATTGCCAATTTCTAGTAGCAGTCAACAACAGTGAAACAATGCATGGTTTTCCCAATAAGTTTCTTCTGCTTTCTCATCCACATCTCAAATGCCAAAGCTGATCTCTATAAAATTCATTACACATTACAAAGAGTATCCTCTCAAAACTGCTGGGAATACCAGACAGACAATAATGAAGAGCATTAGCATACCTATTTTGAGATCAATGAACAACCTTAAGTTTACCTGTCCAAGACTAGCTGCTCACAAATTCCCTTAAAATGTGACTGAAGTTATTACTCATTCTTCCTGTCTTTTCTATTTCTTTTCTACTCTTTATATGCATTTAAACTTATTAAAAACTCTTTCATCTTAAAACAAAGCTCCCAAAATTTGTCACCAAACATTCTGTTGTTCTTCAATTACAAATTTGCCCTTTTTGCTGTCACAACTAATCAGGAATATCTTGTCAGATAATTCAATAATTTGTTTCTCCCATTTTTATAAATTCCATACATTTTAATATTAATGAGAATTTTGTTTCCAAAACTTTTGGGGTATGCACATAGTCTGAGTCTCTTATCTAAGTGTTTCAATCAGTAAAGGCTGACCTAAGTCTGGAATTGAAAGGAACAATACATTGGAGGAATCACCAGTGTATTCAAATGTGTCCTACTTCCAATACAGCCAGAGCAATGACTGGGGCTGCGACAGATGTGGAACAGTACATAGAAACTGAGCAATCCAGACGGCATAAATGCCAAGAATAGATGACGTAAATGCTAAGGAAACTCGGAGGAAAACAATCACATCTGTCTGCAAAGAGAATGAGCAAATGGAGCCGGGCAGAGCATTTAGGAGACACTGCATTGTTGAGAGACAGACAGAGAGAGACAGAGAGGAGAGAGACAGAGAGACAGAGAGAGAGGAGAGAGACAGAGAGAGAGAGAGAGAGAGAGAGAGAGAGAGAGGAGAGGGAGAGAGACAGAGACAGAGAGACAGAGAGGTGAGACAGAGAGACAGAGAGCACACCTAGAAAAGGCGAGTTATCGAAGTGATGAGAGTTGTTTGTGAGATAACTCCAAGGAGTCTCAATTCCTACAACTCTAAATAACTGTCCGAGATCTAAGACAAAAAACGAAAGCATTTTAAGAACTAAAGATTGATTCTCTCGGAAAGTGCTGGCTTAGCATGCATGAAGCCCTCAGTGCAAGCTCTAGTTTTAAAAAGAAGAAAGAAAACCCTTCAAAGCGGAGGTACCTGGCGTAATACTTCCGCCCGTGCAATTCGGATCCGTTCTTTTCGCTCTTCGATACTCTTAGCACTTTCGAATCTTCCACTGAACGCTGCCATAGTTGTTGCTGTCGTAAAGCGAGGAAGCCGTCAGGAAACCTCAGTTTACGACTGTCGTAATTCAGAAGCCAAATCTAGATTCCATAGTAGGGAAGGGGGCGTTACTATACCAACGCGCAGGCGCAGATCAGAAAGTCTGTCCCGCAAAAGGTTCGGTCAAAGCCTGGAAGGCTGACATTTTAGGAGTACTGGATTCGCTAAACGCTGAGTTAATATCAACAATGCGTTATGATGCACCCTGAACTATACTAACTCCTTTCTTACCAAGACTCTTAAAAATACTCCAGTGAGCTAGAGAGTTGTAGAAGTTAAAACCAGATCTCAACGTTTTTGCCGGACTTCCTGTGATAGTGCACCAGGCTAAAGGGGAGCTGATCAGAAAGTCAGGAGTTTGCGGGGTGAAGGGGAGCCGGGGGATTGCTGTAAGATTCAATTTTTTTCGTTGATGGGTGTCTTTAAATATATTGAAAACGGAGTTGGTGAGATGGGTCAGCGTTTTGGGACGCTAACTGCTCTTGCAAAGGACCCAAGTTCAGGTCTCGGACCTTTATGGAAGATCAAAAAACATTCTTAATTCTATTTCCAGAGTTATTTCGCCCTCTTCTGACCTGCACAGGCACTGCACCGCCGTGGTGCACTTACATACAGCCAGACAGAAGAAACAAAAATATGTATTTTTTATCTCTGGAGGTTGAGACTTAGTCTTGCACAAGCCTGGGTACAGAAAGAGTTCCCGTCACCCTGAGGGACCTCTTTGTTGTGTTTATTGCATCTTGAATAAATAAATCTCTGTATCAAAATACTAGTACTTATCTGTGCCTCAGTTGATTGGTTCACAGGGACAAGCCATTTCTCTCTTCTTTTAACTCTGGCAATTCAGAATTTAAAATGCCAAACTTTAATAGTTAACCACACACCCCAACCCCCTTCCCCCATCACCACCACCAAAGTGCTCTTGTTTGATTTGATTCATTATGTTTGGGAGGCTGTACCCTGCACAGATATACCTGGGCATCAGAATCGAGAGTAACCAGTCAATGTCAAGCTGATTAGAAGGGCTGCTGCACCTGGCTCACCCAATCCCAAAGGCACCTAAAAGTGCATGTCTTGAAATACTGCTAGCCAGTCTTGTGTTTTTCAGTAACCTGGGTTCTCAGTCAGATGTGCTTTGAAAGTTCATTTTGTTGTTAAGGACCAATACCCATGAGCTTTTGTATTGAAAAGTCACAGGAAATGAAAATGTCAGGAAACTAAAAACTAGATTTTGGTATTTCCCCTTCTTAAGTTCTCATTTCCCATCCCACCATGCACTAGTGATGAGAGGCCAGGCTGATATTGTTACAGCTAAGGTAGAAGCTGCCTGGTGGTGACAAGCTGCCTGTATCTCCATTCTCCCCACAGGATTTGCCCAGCTCCAACTGTGTAAAGAAAACACATGTAAGGACTAAGCCCTGTTAGACCTTGAGATTTTTGAGGACAGTTTAGACTCAGACATATTCAAATCTGGTCTTCTCATCAGGCCTAGAGATGAGCCATGCATAGGTACTGCCCTGTAGTCATGCTTTCACTGTCTCTTATGCCTGAGCTTCCCTTTCTTTCTCACTCTTCACCTTTTCTCTGTCCCCTCCCTTCCCTCCAGTGCTGAGCCTGACATAGGGCCACCTTCCAGCTCTTACTCCCACCTAAGGCCTTTGTATGTCATTCATATCCCAGGTCAAACAAACACCCTGATCACAAAACGAATGCTCCCATCTTCATACTACTCTCCAGATATTTTCACATCATGATTTAATGCTACTATAGCTCTCTATCTCTACTTGAAGTTGTCTCGACTGCCCATTTTATTTGTTTCCTGGATAACCCCCAGGATACCTATCACAAGTATTCAAGAACTTGAGTAAATGATTGAATTTACATAAATAAATTGCATACATCTGCTTATAATTTTAAAACAGTCCCTTTTATATTCATAGTAATTCTTGCAAGAACTAAAAAGTAATCATATAGAAACTGTACTTTAAAAGAAAGTCTGTGGATGAAGAGATGGTTCAGCAGCTAAGAGGTACCGCTCATGCTGAGGTCCCACATTGGGTTTCCAGCACCTACCTGGCAGGCCACAACCATCTGTAACTCCAGTTCCAGGGGATCGGATGCCCTCCTCTGGTCTCTTTGGTCACTGTGGACATGTGATGTACTTATATAGAGTTAAAATATTCATACACATAAAAGAAAAATTAATCAAAAAAGTTTTAGTAGATTCATAATCCTTATCAAATTAGACAACTTGTTTGAAAATGATTACTTATATGAAATGATGTTTTGGAGAGCTTAAATTCTATCATCATGTGTAAGACAACTGTCAAACACAATCAAGATAATACAAATTGTCCATAAAATAAAGATAAAAGGATGTGTGAAAACAATCCTATACAGTAACATGCATAAATTGACATGCAATGTATATAGGGACACTCAATTTCATGGGGAGAGGTGGGGGGTGTTGAAGCTGAAAAAGATCCTGTGAGGATGACCATATGTCCTAGATCACATAAAGCAACCTAATTTATATTTATTTCCCTAATTGTTATCAACAGTTCCTTATTTAGCTTTTGAAAGGGTCACAGTTTAGATCATAAGTTACAAGATCACCCTAATATTAATCCTATGTTAATTCCTTTCAACATAGTTTGTTGTCTTTAGATAGTCAAGAGACCAGAAAGACCAAGAATCTTTTCTGACAATATGTTGTAGCCCATAACAGAGATTTGACAATCTATTTCCCAGCCACTAATTCTGTGCCAATTTCTGAGGTATTGGTGAGTTGTTCAGTACACAATTTCTGAAGCCAGGTGTGCTAGGTTAAAAAAACAAAACAACAAAAAAAAAAAAACTCTGCCACTTATTTAGTTGTGCCACTTGACATAATCTGCTTCTTTTTGTTTCTTAACTGCAAAGTGGTAACAACACTGTATGCCTAACTTCTGTGAAAATTGAATGAGTTAAAGCATATAGAGCTTCCAAACTAAGTGCTAAGGCAATAATTTTCACATTTTAGCATTATCTCCTAGTCAGTGACCTGAGGTAATACATCCTAGTCACTTTGATCAACTTGGTACAGGCTGGAGTTATCTTAGAGGAAACCCTTGACTTAGGGATTGTCTAGATCAGATTGGCCAGTGGGCATGGGGTAGGAAGAGCTTACTTAGTTGTTAAGTGGTGTAGGGGGACCCAGGCCACTATGGGTACCACTATTCCTTGTCCAGGTGGTCTTGGACTATATAACAAGTATGAGCAAGTGAGCCAAAAAGCAAAGAAACAACATTCCTCCATGTTTACTGCTTTCAAGTTCCTGCCCTGACTTCCCTCAATAATGGACTGTGACTTGGGAATATAAATCTTTCCTACCCTAAGTTGCTTAGGTCATTGTCTTTATCACAGCAATAGACTGAAATTAGAACACCATGCTGAACTACCGTTTTCTCTCTAATTTTTATGACATAAGTGCCTTCTATATTCATTGTCTTCTTGTTATAAGTCATGTAGGAAAAAAGAAAAGCATTTCTCAGTAGGTTCTTCAGCACTGGAACAGATCACTGATTCTCTATGGTTGAGCATCAAAGTAGTTTGTATTAAGATGCTATCTTTCTACAAACCACCACCAGCTTTTGTGGTCCACATTAGGTAAGTAAAGTGTTCAACTGAATTTTAAATTTTAAGGTAGAGATGTCACCACAGTGAATATTTTCATTATCGTATATGAGTAGAACCATGGAAAATATTCCCTCATCTTCTAACTCCTGTAAACACTGAACTCCACTGTGTTGAAGTTGATCTACTATGTAAATGAAAGTCTATACATTCCTATACTACTTTGTTTCACATACATAATTTCTAAACATCACAATAATCATGCATTTGTCTTTGCAGTTATTTAAAGCATTCTATAAATCTCCTGTCTTATCTTTTTTATTCATTGTATAATGAAGGTTTTGTCATCCCCAAGATGAAAAACTATGGTTCAGAGAATATATGAAAGTGTCTTTCCCTAATATCACACTGGTGGTAAAGTTTTTTCCAAGCCTGGATCTCTTGACTCCTATAATAGTGTTTGGGAGTGATCTTTAAAAGAAAACAGAATCAAATTCCCCTTTTCCATTAGAGTACACACAAATCACCTAGGGAGCTCAGCTATCTAGACAGACCTAGAAATGTGGATGTCCATCAGGGAGTGTCAGGTAATCATGCAGATACTGAGCAGCCACATTTTGAGAAACACCACTCAAGGTGATGGCACACTATATGGAGATTGTAGGGAATACTCCAAAGGGCTATCTTATCCATGTAATATGGTAATTAAAAATAAGTAGAGGGAAAGATGCTTTTGGTCAGTAGAGATCAATGTCCTAAGCACAAAAACATTTTCTCTGTAACGGTGACAGTTAACTCTTCAAAGTTATATCTCTTGTTTTCCTGAACAGCAGTAGGATGACCAGATGTCTGCTGTGTCAATTCAAAGCTTTTCCTTCTCAGATGAAACAGGTGTGTTATTTCTCTTGCAGGAAGACAGACATCACTTGTAGCATTTCTCACTTCAGATGGGCTTTGAAGGAACTCATTTAGTTGAAGTACTACATGCCAATTTTTTCTCATGAGACTGGGCTGACATTTTGTTGACAAGGACAATGTTCTAAGGCCACCTGAAAAAGCAAATTCTATACTCAAGTTAGAAAAGGACCTTCTACATGCACCTGAAAAATCTTGGATCTTTTCAATAAGATACAATTTCACAATTTGGAAGTCTGAAGAAGATAACGTATTTGTGTTCCCATAGTAAACACGCCAATTAGCATACAGTTTTTTCTATAGGCCAAGTAGATTGACAGTATCTTGGATTACTTTTGAACTTTGTGTAGACAAAGGAAACTATGCCAGTCTATTTCTTAAACATATTGTGGTGGTTTAAATAAGTTACTGTCATCATTATGAACTCAGTGTTGCTAATTTTGAGTTTTATTGAATTATATCAATGTCTTATTTCTCTTAATAGGTTTTTCCTGATTAA